ACAAAGAATTTTCTTTTAGATTTTGAAAAACTTTGAGGTTTAAAATAAAGAGTTAGATTTAGTTCCTTCGAAAGATATAATCAAATTAAATTTCGCATGTTACAAATCATATATAAGATATATAAAAATAAGTAGAATATTTTCTACCGTTCTTTCATAAAAAGAAGTAATAGTGAAGGTGAATGGAGGAAACTAAATGTATGAGAATCTGTCTTTTCAATACATAAGTTAGACGTATAAATATTTATTCTCTGAAAATATTTACCCTCTCTCTCTCTCTCTCTCAACTTGGCAAAAAATAAAGGGGGGGGGGGGTTCCAACCCCCGGAACCCCCCCCCCTAGATCCGCCAATGGCAGTGCGAAGTATTATTTGTATTTATATACCCCATTTGGGGTCTTTGTCTTAAATATAAACTTGAAACTTGAAACACATGCACTTGACGTTAATTATTTTTCTTATATAAAAATATAACCTCATACCTAATAAAACACTAGGTATATGTTGTTATTTTCAGTTTATTTTTAAAGAAAAATAACTAACATCAAGTGCCTGTGTCAGTGTGCAGTGTATAAGTCCTCGAATTCTATGCACATGGCATTATTTTCGTGTTCACGTAATATCATTTTATTATTATTTTTTTATCCTTGTTCGTTTAGGTTGCTAGGTCGTCAAACTTTAATTTACCCACCCCTCCCACTTTCTGCTATGAGTTCTGCAAACCTTTCAGAGTTATCATTCCTTTTTCACTTTCAAAGCATTCCATTCTATATATGCTCTTCAGACAGTTGACGCGACCTGCTCTTGTTGATGAATGTGGATCAAATAAATTTAAATATTATTAGACGAATGTAAAAATATATTATAGAAAAAAATAAACATATAATTACCAGTAAAAAAAATCCTACTTATTAATGATAAATATAATGTTTTATTTAAGAAATCTCATGAAAATTCAAATGAGCAAATGAAAAATAAATGATAGATTAAAAAAAAGATCCCTTGTTTAATTAATTTATTTTTAAATGTGTAGTACAAATGCATTGTATACTAGTGATTCTTGTCAATAGAAGTTACAATTATGTGCAATCAGTTATATACATCCTTGTTCGTACAACACTTAAATATATCGATCTTGATATGATATTTTTTAAAATAATTTAAAGTCGATGGATATGTTCTTCTATCCCTTTGAATTGAATCAAATGTTCATTATAGAAGTGTCGGACTGCGACCCCCACCCTCTGATGCCGCTCCAATGACCAGGATGGCGGCTCCAGTAGCCATTGTTAGCATGCAGGTTTGTCCAGAATTCAGGGTTCATTATGCAAGTATTGTGTGTACTTCTGCTTGTGACATTTCCTCACCACCAAGGTGGTAATTGTGTGCTGAGTAATATATACACATATAAACGAGTCGATTAGCATCACGTACTAGTAAGGGTACCCAATTACCACCAGCGAAAAATAAGCATATTGTGTAAATATACATCAATTGACTCGAGAAAAAATAATCTCGGTATGATAATTATCATTTTGTATCAGGAATTTTGATTTAAATAGCCTACAAATCTTGAGTTTTCTCTCCGTTTACGGATATAGCAGCATTGACACTTTGGATTTGCAGAGAGCTTTGAATCAAGTTTGTGGAATTGAAGTTAATTTCCCTTCCCGTACCTTAATTCAAAATCAGCTGATTTGACTTCTGAAATATACACTTTTAACCCCCCAGTGAACGCTCAATGTTATAATTATTTATTCCTTGTCAAGCTCTGTTATAGCGCTAGAATTAGTTACGCAAGAAAAAACAAAACCTCATTATAATTAAATAAGCAGGAAACGCACACTTTAAAAACAAAGATCGTAGGAACAAATATCTATACGAAAGGGAATTTCACAGTTATTTCATCTCAGTTAGATGATTAAACAGAAACGTTCAGAGTTAAGTTCTTCTTTAAATATTTTGACAAAGGTGAATGGGTTTTTCTTACGCAATTCCAACAGATCAAGAGGAGCTGTGAAGCATCTGTCTGGGTCAAAGGTCATATACTACAAAGCCAAAGCGTAAAGTGTGTTTGTTCATTGATTTTATGTAACATAAGTATAGATTTGTTAGATGATGAAGTTATATGGACTCGTCAAATATAGAAAATCGATCCACGTGGTGTAATCATTAACGAACCTGCTGTTGTGATTGTTTGACAAAATCAAGTGAAAGAGTTTCTTGTTACATAGTGTTATCATCAGTTCCCTCCAATCTCCCAATCGCAGCATTCGGTGGGGCTCTCTATGAAATCAATAAGAGGACGCGTCTGCTGCTTCGTTGGTGCATGGTAGAATTAGTTGTCCGTGATGTGAACTGACCAAGGCACTATAATCAGCTATCAGGATATTTTAGCAATTCCAAAAGGTCAGTTTGAACATTTGAAATGTGAAGTAAATTTCAAGTAAACATCATAATTAATATGATAGTGAAGTTTGGAAGGGGAAAAATTATCAGTTAATATGTGGATTACGGCGAGGGTGTTTCTTCAAAGATTAAAATCATTCTTTGTTTCAGTGCATGGGAACTGCATCAACCCTTCTAATTATTTAAATAATCATGTTTTCGTCTTAGGACCTGGCATCTGCAACACAAATGTTTATCGATCAGGAAAAATGATGTAGCTTTAATGTCCAGTTCAATGTAAAATCGCAAAAAAAGGCTAAGTGCTCTTATAAAATGATTATTGTTATTAGGAAAATGTACTTGTAGCCTTTTCTCGGTTTATTACGATATATAGTGCTTTTATATACTGCCATTTAGCTACCCGTATTTCAATGAACGAATGCTCGAAATTAATTACCAGTTGATTTCAATAATTTCAATCAATCACCAGCGAGCTGTTTTCAGGCATGTTCGAAACAAATCAACTCAACAAATATTATGAAGATTTTAAATTAATGAATGTATATTCCACTTTGTCATCAAGTCAAACATTATATTACTTATTATTTATATTTTGGATTGCACATAGTTAAAAATGAATGCAAATTCCTATAATTGGAAAATATATAAGAGGCAGAGGGGATGCATTCTTGTAATTTTTATTTGATTAATTAGGCATTCGTTGCTTTGACCCTCAACCCTCGTCGCTTCCCATTGTCTTTCAGTAAGATTCGGGTTATAAATTAAAGGATGTCATTGTATTTAAAACTTCGTTAATAATTGAAAAAAAAGTGTTAAAATAATACATTATGTGGAGGGAGGCGTAATTAATTGGTAATCATTCTTTTTGACATTGGGTATAAATTGGAAAAAAAAGTTAATTAATGATCGTCTATTGTAGACCCATTTAGTCGCGTTAGTCGAGAACGCTCACCACGTCTTCTTCAATGGTTTATCCAATGGTAAATTTAAACTATGCCTCATTCTCGTGTCCGTAATAATTTAAATTATAGTTTATACTGATATGTGACATCTATCTCCTCAAATTACTGTCCTCCACGGTAGCGTAAAGGGTGTAATTTATAGAAGAGTATGCGTGTGTGTGCGTCATAAAGGAACTTCTCCATTTATTATGTTACCACATGCTCAGTCCATACAGTCAGGACAGTTGGTGGATTATTATCATGAGATGGTCTTATAAGCCGCAACCCCACTTGTAGGGAATTAGCATGTCAACCCCTCCCTCCCCCCTCTCTCGTGATAATTAAAGTAAATTGTCTTTTCTTATGCTTTTGTGTATCAAATCTGTAGAATTCATCTACTTAATTCTTTTTATGTATAATTATGGAAACTTTCTAATTACTGTACTTTATATATAGAAAATATGCATTAATGGTCTGTTTGACCTCTGATAATGTCAAGCAATTCAAATCTAAAAATTCTGATATGCTAAAAGGACATGTCGCTATTGCGTGATCATATTATTCCTTAATCAGGTGTTAACAGGTATAATTAGATATAACCAGGGAAAAATTAAGACTAAGTCCAAAGGGTCCAGTAAACGAGCTGAAAATGTTTGCAGCATTAAATCATTCCTAATCATACGATTTCCGTCCTACGGCTATTTACTCTACTATGTTTTTATTTGGTTGAGTGATACATGATAAGTAACGAGGCACCCGATGGCGTGATTCCTTACGTACTGTATCAGTCTAGGGGCCATGTGACTATTGCATGCCTTGTGTACTCAGCCATAAAAATACACGTGAAGTAGTACACAAACAATGAAACTGAAACAGACAAGACAGCGACACTGCTGCCATCGCATGTTCATTTCATTTCAGTTAAATTTATATTGTGCATGGATCATTTGCTTTGCTTTTTTGTATAGTTTTGAAGTAAGTTTAATACATTTTTTTTTACATGTGTGTGCAGAATTTGCAGGAATATGATATGTAATTTACAAAATTTTTATGAATTTTATCTGCTAAAGTTTATTTTACACCGTATATGAATTTAATGCCCTTCTGAGTACTAGTGATCATTATAGAACAGTTTTAAATGGTAGTAATCTTTATTTATTCGAATAGTGAGTATTCAAATGTTCCCATGTTACAAATCTGTTAATTAAAGTATAGCAAATACAAAATTGAATTTGTATGACGGGGAATGTGTCTTTTTGTAGTCGCGGTGTATAAAATGCATTTTCCCGTCTGAAGTTAATTTTGAACGCAGTGACTCAGACAATCGGCTGATCTTGCACTTTTTTTAATGGGGCTCCAAAAAGGGGTTCGCAATGAATACCAAAATTTGCTGTACGTTTTCAAATAAATAAAAGCCTGGAAAAGATAATGATTTACAGATATATCAGGAGTGCGTTCGCAGCAGGGACCGGTAGATGGTATTTCTATAAAAATACAGCCTGAGATTGTTAGATCAAATCAAATCGATGAACTATATGCTAGGAACAAACCAAAAATGGACAAGAATATTTTACACATGTCAAAAAAAATATTTTCATTTTTTTTTAAATAAAAGTCTTGTTATTAAAATCGGGTTCAATATTACTGACGACATTATTACGTCATGAAAGAAAAAATGACTGCTTTTGTTTTCAGTTCACTGCCTCACAGAAGGTATGTTAGTTTAATTAAAGACCATATTATTATGCATTAATCATCTAAGACAGCCGTTCAGAATATCATATTATAATAGCATTTATAATTGGCGAATGCCTAATTCATTAGGAAATCGGATTTAAAGTAACACGATATCTAGGAAAGGGTCATAATATTATCACTATCAGTTCATTGCAATCGATGACAATCGATCTACAGTTTTGTTTTTTCTTTTTTCAAGATGAATTTTACATATTCGTTCGGATCAGCGGTCTTTTTTTTTTTATTAATTGACTGGGTCGTGTCCCTCCGTTTTATTTTTGAGGAATGCTCGTGTAACAAAATCTCTTCAGACATCACCCTGGATAATATAGAGTAGATCAGTCATTTTGCAGATCCGATTTTTTAGGCCATCGTCGTTGCTACAGTATATTTACAAGACTCGAGAAATCGCCATTTTTCTGTCAAATACATCGTTTTTCCTTATTTATGATCTTCATTATAAAAGGAGACAGCATTACATCCCCCGGGAAGCATTTGAAAGCTCTGTGTCTCAAAAGTTCAAATTTCACTGAATTAACATTAAATTGTTTACTTAGAAATCGAGTAGCCAGCTCTCCTTAGTTGGTACATGCAGTTGTCAGTGAGAAGAATTAAATCTTTTATAAAGCAAATAAGTCCCTACAGCATCAGTCTTGCCATCGTTGGGACATACAGAAAATTAATAGATTTGCTCTTATGTGTACAACCGATAAGGTTAAGGACTGGACCAGATTTATTTCAATTACATGTGCTAATGTTACAGAAATGCATGATCCAGTCCATTTATAATCTATTTAGAAAAGTAGGCAGGCATAGCCTAAGTATGGCAATGGATGAAAGCTCTACATCCACTTCTGTTTACAGTAATATTCTTGCATTTGAACCATAGTAAATTTATTGTATTTTGTCAAAATTTCAGAGTAAGAAAGATCGAGAATTTATGGGAGGATGACAATCAAGGAAATCTACAGCTCACGTGTTGAGGAAGATTTCCTCCCCCCTCCCCAGACGTTAAAGACACTGGACACTGCGGCATCAAAGAGAATGGCGGACATTCTCACAGAATCAACCTTCTCTGGCTCAGTTACAGAACAGACGACTCGTATTCCAGTGTTGACTTGTGAAAATGGAATCCTTCCTCAGATTAATTCATTGAAAACGAAACCAACAGTGACGACAAAACAACGTCAGAATGGACATCTTAGATCATATTCAGGAACGCAGCATGGACGTTCAAATCAGCAAAAGCTTGACATGGACTTAAGCTTTCAGCATGATAAACACTGGATGGCCAAATTTTACGAGTCTTTTGAGGACCCGCCTCTTTGGACATCTATAATGACGTATATTAGTTTTCTAATACTCATTCTTGTGGGACATGTACGAGAGTTTCTGAAAAAGCTAGGAATTGGAAGAGTTAAAAACATATCGGAACCTAACATTCCGGTAAATCTCCCTTTTTATTGCTCCTTTTTTTTTTATTCATTTGTGTTTTTGACAACCTTGTATTGACCATGGCCAAAATATATGGCACAAAATATATGTGTACTTCTGGAATATTGTTTTAATTTCCATTCATTGTATTATGCCATTTTTTTTTATGATACATGTATTTAGAAAAAAAAGGGGGGGGGGGTTAGAAGAAGCTATGTTTTGATTAGATCGTATTTACAATTTTCTTTAGAATTTTTTTAATAAATATTTTTTAGATATTACAATTTTGTTAATTCTAAAATGCAATTAAAAAACGATCGTTTTGTCGTTTTAATACTAAATTTAAGCGATAAATAAAATTAACCGTTTTCCAAATTTTCTAGGCTTGGTAAGATTGTAATCCACAAGTAATACCCTTTTTAAAATTTTGCATTGTATATTGTATTTTGAAATTCGAAACACAAAAAAATTTAAGTACCTCCTTTGAGTCTCATTGTAACTTTCTGTTTCCCCCTGTAGGGATTTGTTCCCCTGTACCAGACCTGGGAAAGCTTTTATCACTGGTACATCTTCAGAAGAGGCAAGGATACACTATACCGGACTATATGCAGTGTTCCTGGAGCAGAGATGGACGTCATGGATCGCGTAACCGACGATCATTATTGGACATTCCGGTAATACTATTTCTGCACGGAGAGCTATCTACCCAGATCCCCTCTTCCACATTTTTTTCACGTTTTTGAAGTCTGTCTTTTATTTTATAATCGGAGAAAATGATTTAGGGTAACCACAAGAAATTTTTTTTATCAAGTGAAGAGAATTTTTCTGCAGAAAATTGAAGAACTTCGTCATTATTTCATACCCTACAATAATTACAACTTTGCTCTAAATACTTCGTTTAAAAAATTGAAATCAGTTGTTTTTTATTCATTAGAAGCTACAGGCATTTTGCACTCCTTTTTCACCCATTTTCTTCAAACAAATACGCGTATTATGTAATCCTGGATACAAACACCTTGGAGATAAGAAGTCAACATTTTTTATTCAATAATGCAGTGAATTGATTTCTTAGATATACGGGGACCTCTACTAGAGCCATCAACTTTGGGTCCTACAATTACCTGGGATTTTCTCAAAACAGTGGACCATGTGCAGAGGCTGTAGAAAAGACGGTCGAAGAACTGGGGAATGCCATTTGCGCTAGCAGACAAGAATTAGGTACAGGAACAGATCTTCCCAATGAAGTAGACAAGTTATGTGTACTTGTTAAAGTTTCTTTGTAAATTGAGATAATCATACTTCCTTTAGTTTTTTATGGGTTTTTTTCCGGAGGGGGGGGGGGGTGTTTATCGAGGAGCTGAAAAATTACCAATGACTGAATTTTCGGTGATCTGCTTTGACTATTCTGGGGAATAGAATTTATTTCAATACTGAATAGAAATATATATTGTCAAACTTTCACTAAGGTCCACAATCTTTTAAACTTTTAACTGCATTTCATTTATTCACAGGCTATCTCCAGATTCACAAAGAATTAGACGAGCTTGTTGCCGATTATCTAGGTGTTGAGGCTGCAATAACAGTTCCAATGGGGTTTGCTACCAATTCCATGAACCTTCCAGCACTTGTGGGCAAGGTAAATAAATATTTACTGAAAAAACAGTGATAACATGTGTTATCATCAATTTGGTCTTGCATCAACATCTTTATCGTTGTTTCTGACCAGTCATTTATTAACTCTGTGCAAGCAAAGGGAGAAAGTAGAAATAAAACTAAATCTCCTGTATGTTTTCTCAACCTGCTATCTCGAAGTTGCTGAGATATTTGATCATCTTTTCATTTTCTAAGTAATATATTTACAAAGTCAAATGCACTTTCTCGGACCCCCCCCCCCCCCTTTTAGAGACACATTTAGCCAAGAAAAGGAATTTTAAGAAAAATATAGGAATTTTATGTTGCAAAAAGACATTCAGAGGTATATAGTGTATATACTAAAAAAAAGAAGATTTTAGAATGCTATATACTAGTTTTTATAGTTACTTTAATTTTGTGTACGTTATGTTGGAGAGAATTTTCGTTCCAATATACAGGTGACTCTCGATCTCTCGAAGTTCAAGGGACCGCGAGAAAAGTTCGAGAGATCGAGGGGTTCGAGAGATGTAAAAGTAAATAAAATCCGGAATTTTCAGTTCCGATCGTCAAAGTTCTACTTTTACAAATACCGGAAGTA